TGGATGATTCTCTTACTTAATTTCGTATAATTGGTCGGTTCTGTTACACTTTCAGAGTTCAACCATGAAGTGCTCGGGGGCTTGTCGATGTGGGACCTACAGAATACCCCGCAAGAGAGATAAAAGATCTAGTTCAACTAGGATTCTTCCCATGTAATCTTAAAAAGTAGAACTATTAAGTAATCCTACTAGGAAATCTCATTGTAAACCGACTAGGACTCTGGCCTCCTGATAATATAAAGGAGGGCAGGGCTCCTGAAAGAGGAGCAACAATTGTACAACATAACACTTCATAATCAATCCAACGCAAAAGGCAAACGTCGACTGGACGTAGGGTCGTTACTCGATCTACGATCGAGGGCCTGAACCAGGATAAATCGACTGTCTCTTGCGTTCACCATCGAGTTCAGCATACGCCAAAACCCGAACGATACTGCCACGGTACCCCTGTGGTAGGCTATCGGTGGTAAAACATCGACACTCGCCAACGCTTTTAGCACCGTCGCCCTCACTCCGTCACCGAGCTCCTCGGACTGGGTCATCGACTCTGGTGCTTCCTCTCACATTGCCTCCAACCCTGGTATGGTCACAACCTCGCCATCATCCTCTTTTCCTTCCTCCATTGTTGTTGGCAATGGTGCCACCCTTCCAGTGGTTGGCACTGACTTCTCCATCCTTCCCGGCCCTTTTCGCCTCAACAATGTCCTTATAGCTCCTGACATTATTAGAAATCTTCTTTTCAGACATAAGTTCACCACCGACAATTGCATTTTGATTAAATTTGACCCTCTTGGCGTTTCTGTGAAGGATCTCCACTCCAAGGACACCCTCCTTCGATGTAACAGCTCGGGACCTTTCTACACCTTGCAGCTGCCTACGTCTTCCTCCAGTTCCTGCGCTCTTGTGGCTACTCCCTCCCTGACTACCTGGCATCGTCGCCTCGGTCACCCTGGCAAGGCTGCCCTTCAGAGTCTTGCCCAATCCTCTTCGATCATATGCAGCAAGCCTGACGATGACTCCCTCTGCCATGCGTGTCAACTTGGACGCCATGTTCACTTACCTTTTACTAGTTCCTTGTCTAGAGCAGCTAAGATTTTTGATTTGGTACATTGTGATCTATGGACATCACCTGTTACCAGTATATCCGGGTTCAAATATTACTTACTTATCCTCGATGACTGCTCTCATTTTCTTTGGACTTTTCCCCTTCGTCTAAAGTCTGATACTTTCCCTACTATTTCCAATTTTTCGCTCATGTGAACACTCAGTTCAGCTGCACCATCAAAACGGTACAGTATGACAACGGCCGTGAGTTTGACAACTCCGCCTCTCGTGCGTTCTTCCTTGCCAACGGCGTTTTCCTCCGCATGTCCTGTCCTTATACTTCACAACAAAATGGGAAAGCCGAGCGCATGATTCGCACCACTAACAATGTCACCCGAACCCTCCTTTTTCAGGTTTCCATGCCACCCTCCTACTGGGCTGACGCCCTTGCTACTGCTACCCTCCTCCTCAGTTGGCTCCCTACCAAGACGCTGCACATGAGCACTCCTTTCTTCGCGCTCTACGGCGCCCACCCCTCTTATCATGACCTACGAGCTTTTGGATGCACCTGTTACCCCAACCTCACCGCTACCACTCCTCACAAACTTGCTCCACGCTCCGCTCTATGTGTGTTCATCGGCTACTCGCCTGATCACAAAGGCTACAGGTGCCTCAACCTCGCCACCAACCGTGTCATCATCTCTCGGCATGTTGTTTTTGATGAAACAACATTTCCTTTCTCCCTTCGCCGACCCTCACCTCCTCCACAAGAGCTTGATTTCTAACTAACGATGACCCCCTGCCAGTCTTCCCTTTACCTGCAGGTACACCCGGGCTTGCTGGCTCCTTGCCAGCACCCACGCCTCCACATGCCCGCTCCCAGCCATCGCCACCGATCACCCCGATGGCTGGTCTGGGCACCCCGACGCCCAGATCGCCTCCACCAGGTTTCCCTGTCTTGCGGCCGCTGATCGCCTCGGCGACTGGCTCACACACGCTAGCCTCCCAGAAGTCTCTGGTACTCCCGGGCACGCCCGCGGCACCTCCGGCACGACAGGTGCCCCCAGCGCCTCCTGTCCTGGAGCCCCCGGCACCCGCGGTACCCCCGGCGCCCCCTGTTCAGGAGCCTCCGGCCCCCGTGGTGCCCCAGGCGCCCGCCTTACCTCAGGCACCTTCGGCTCCCTCCTTCAGCAAGCCTCCTATCATCCACGTCTCCTCCAGGCGCCCTCCTGCACCCGGCTCACCTTCTGAGCCCGCTGCGGGGCCCCTCCTCGATGCTCCAGCATTGTTCCCTCTCCACCACGCTATGTCAAGTACGGCCCTCCGGTTCCGACAACGGCCGTCTCCATCCCTCCGGTCACCAACTCCCATGGCATGGCGACCCACGGGAAGTCCGGGTACCGGCAGCCTCATCTTGCCTTGCATACTGAGGCCTTGTCATGGGTACCGCGGTCGTGTCGCGATGCTCTTGCCAATCCGCACTGGCGTCGGGCCATGGAAGAAGAACATGCTGCTCTTCTGGACAACCACACTTGGGATCTTGTCCCTCGCCCGGCCAAGGCCAATGTGGTCACTGGAAAATGGATTTTCAAACACAAATTTCATGCTGATGGTTCCTTGGAAAGATACAAGGCTCGTTGGGTCCTTCGCGGATTTATACAGCGCCCCGGTGTTGATTACGACGAGACCTTCAGCCCTGTCGTCAAACCAGCCACCGTTCGCACTGTCCTCACCTTGGCACACTCTCGGGACTGGCCGATCCATCAACTCGACGTGAAGAATGCTTTCCTCCACGGGACTTTGTCAGAAACTGTGTACTGCTCTCAGCCCACCGGGTTCGCTGATCCTGCTCTCCCGAACCATGTTTGCAAGCTCAACAAGTCTCTCTACGGGCTGAAGCAGGCACCTCGTGCGTGGTACAGCCGGTTTGCCGCTTACCTGCTCACCTTGGGCTTCACTGAAGCCAAGTCAGACACCTCCCTGTTCATATACCGACGCGGCACCGAGACAGTATATTTGCTCCTCTATGTGGATGACATCGTCCTCACTGCCTCCTCTCAGCAGCTCCTCCTCCGTATGATTGCTGCCCTGAAGAAGGAATTTGCTATGAAAGACCTTGGTCCCTTGCATCACTTCCTAGGCGTGGCGGTTCAGCGACACAGGGACACTCTCATCCTCTCACAGCGCCAATACACCCTGGACATCCTTGATCGACATGGCATGAGCGGCTGCAATCCCCGCTCTACCCCCGTTGACACTTGTGCCAAGGTATCTGCAGATGCTGGCCCTCCTGTGGATGATCCCACAGCCTACCGCAGTCTTGCAGGCGCTCTCCAGTACCTGACGTTCACCCGCCCCGACATTGCATATGCCGTCCAACAAATTTGCCTTTACATGCATGATCCCCGAGAGACTCACCTGATCGCCGCTAAGCGGATCCTTCGCTACCTTTGAGGCACCATCGCCTATGGCTGGTCATTCCCAGTCTACCCGACTCAGCTCGTCATTCACACTGATGCTGACTGGGCAGGCTGCCCGGACACTCGCCGCTCCACCTCTGGATACGCTGTCTTCCTCGGTGGCAGCCTCGTCTCCTGGTCATCCAAAAGGCAACCCATCGTCTCTCGGTCGAAAGTGCAAGCCGAGTAGTACCGTCTTTGTTGCCAACGGCGTCGCCGAAGCTTCATGGCTGCAGCAACTTCTACAGGAATTGCGCCACCCCCTAAAGACTGCCTCCCTCATCTACTGCGACAATGTCAGCGTCGTCTACCTCTCCACCAACCCCGTTCAACATCAACGCACCAAGCACGTGGAAATCGACCTTCACTTCGTCCATGAACGGGTCGCCATTGGCACCGCTTCAAGGCGTCCTACATGTTCCCACAACGTCGCAAAGATGCGGATGTCTTCACCAAGGGGCTTCCTTCTTCTGTCTTCATGGAATTTCGCTCCAGTCTAAACGTTCGTCCCAGCAACGTTCCAACTGCGCGCGGGGAGGGGGGGGTTTAGAATATCTGGTTACTCATGTGAACACTCTACCGGTTAGGCCCTTTCCTTGTGTGAATGCGGCACTGGTCAGACCCTTTGGGCCCCTTGTAATCCCTTTGGAACCTCAATCAAGTATGCTAAGCCTGTTGGCTTAACCTTCTATCAAGGAGACCTTCAATGGCTGGCATCTGTGATCCACACGCACTGTGCCGACTTTAATCCGTACCAATCAACCGTGGAACAATATTTTTCTCTTATAACAAACCAACCGTACAAATCAGCAGAAACCGATTTAATACCAACCGAACAAGGCATGAAGCTCATCTTGCGGGCCGCTCCATCTCTAGGCTAGGAGGAGCTGCAGGAAGCAGTCAGTCGGTTTCTTAGTCTTATCCTCATAGCTAGTGCCTAAGAAAACCAGGGCTGGCGGATGAACAACCTGCAAACTGTAATCAATCTCTAATCTACTTATCAATGAAAGCCGGGTAACCGGATCTTCTCCCCTAATGAGATAATTCAGTTTGACGGTCAATGTCAAAATAGTTGTAATAGGTGAAAATTGAGGCACAGGCCTGCTGCATTTGACAAAGACTCAAACTAAAAAGGTTGGCTGCATCTGTGATGATCCATGATTCAGTGAGCTGACAAATTATTAGGTGCTTTTACTATCACCAGTTTGATACAACTTTCATTTTGCTGTATATCCAAGGATGCTACCTAACTTTTTTTTTTTTTTGAAAGAACAGGAGGGCCGGCAGGCCCTACTGGCATATATTAAAACAAGGTAAAAAAAACAACAGTCCAAGAGTACAAAACATGGTGAGGTAGCTGAAAAAAAACATTCTAAGGAATTAAGAAAGGGAAGGTGAAGAAGATCCAAGAGTACACAAGAGGTCTCCATCCTAATTTAAGCGGCTTATCCATTCTTGAATTTTAGGAAAGTACTTCTGCTCTGCATAGCATCAGCTCTAGCTCAATCCTGAAGATGTTTTTGCACCCTTTGGGTAGAAGGAGGGATCTGCCTGAAAATGAAGTTGTTCCTGCTCATCCAGATAGCCCAGCAAAAGAGGATGATGATCTCCATAAAGAACTTTTGCTTTATCTGAAGTCAGCCATTCCAGCAAAAGAGGATGATGCTACCTAACTTAACACTGTCTACCAAGTAAACACTTGCTCCGTTTTAGGTTTATCACCATCAATGGCGCGCCCTCCCTTGCTGTCATCATCTCCTGAACTCCCTGATTTTGTAGTGACCTGACCTCTAAAATGTTCTGTCACGTGGAGCCTAAATGTAGAGTTGTACAGATTATGTTACAACCCATGGGGGCGTCTAATCTTCTTGAACAATAAGCATGCAATCTGACATGATTGCTGACAAAATTCGCATACCTGTGTGGGGCATGGAGGGGATCAAACCCAATTTCTCTGCAATACCCAACTTCTTTTTGGCATAGTCATAATAGGTCTTGAGCCTTGGAACCTGCAAATGAATTTAGTTTCCAGATAAGCGAAAATCAAGCGAATACTTGGAGCACATTAAAAACCAGAATAAAGGTACATCTAAAATCTCAAAAGTAAAAAAAAGAGAATCAACTAACAATTTTTTTGACAGCCTCCACGATCAACCAATAAGCTTCATCACCTTCTTCAAGCTACATACAGACAAAAATAGCTTTAGTGCAAAGAAAATTTCCAGTAGGACACTGATCTCCAAGACAAAAGTAGCTTACATTTTTATCTATGCCAGCCACATATGTTTTATACTGGAGAGAAAATATGAAAGAATTAGGCACTGGGAATAGGATAGAGAATAAATTTTGATATATAAGCGAATGACGCCTGTGAACAAGGGCGACTTAGACTTACATTATCAGTTTCTATCTCAGTTTTCACTTCAGCCCAGTTGAAGGGCCACATGGCTTTGTCCTTCACTTCATCCAAAGCATCTTTGAAATTCATCTAACCAATGTTCAAGGGGAAAAAATGTCCCTGTGATTAATAAACATATAAAGCCAGAACAAATTGAAAAAAGAGCACTGTAAATTTCTTAGTTCTGCGTATTCAGACAAAAATCCAAACCTTCTGCTTAGCAACCCGTTTCCAGATCTCAAAATAGAGACGTGCATAAAAATGATCAGTCGTAACGCTATAAAAAAATTCCTGAAAAAAAGTGATATGTCATTGTCGAATACTATCACTTGCAATATACAACACATTAATATGTTGAGGAGCTAGGATCATTACCATTAAGAAACGACCAAGTAACTTCGAATAAATCTGGCGGCAATCTGCTCTAATCTTCGCTGCGTGATAGTAGGCCACACGGTCCATTATCTTCCGCTAAACAAAAAAGAAATGAAACCACTTTAGGGTGCGAAGACTGAGAAAATAGCACCGAACACATTCAACAAGCCTGTTTATTAACCACAAGAGAGGATTGTAGGGGCTGTGTACCTCTTGCATTGTGAGTTTGTGGTAATGTTGAAGCCACTGCATGTGACAAAAAGGTTATCAAACCAAAGTTGTTGACATATGACCAGAAGTGCATAATCAATAACATCGTGCATACCTTGGTTTTATCTAATAGCTTTTCCCACAAGTGGACAAATTGTTGATCGCTCTCAAGTGTACTACAGGCTTTGTGGTAATAAGCCTAGTCTAGGTAACCCTGCACAAAGAAAAAATTAACAATCAGGTCAGCGTTCATCGCCCCTACTCCATCATCCTGATTTCCACAATCTCCATGGTGAAACTTTCCTGTTTTCTATTTTTTTCCCATTCACCAACCAGAGCACAGCCAAGAGGTACAATCCTCATGTGGACCAAACCACACAAACTTATTACCACATAGGACTCAAGGTGCGAGCGCACGCATTGCATAGATAGTAGTGTAATGTACAAGGCACTGGATACGTCCACAAGGGAGACAATTAGACGGAACACTTTAATCGACTTGAAGCTAGTACACACGGAGCTAAAACAAACAGGGGGGCATACAAATTATTTCTTCGAGCTCAATAACCGAAAATGGCTGGTGGCAACACAGTACCAAGCTACTCTGGCCGACAGGTAAAGGCCCTAGTTTAGGCACTGCACCTAAGACGAAGACATAAAGATCCTTATCTACTAAACTGGCATAGTGAACTAATGGATACATGAGCCCAGGGATCTCCAAAGTCCAACACAAGGACTCATAGGCCAAGTTCATACCACAACGGGACACTACCCACTACATGACACACTTAAAACTGGAACACCGATTATGGCACCAACACGAAGCGCATAGAACAGCATCAGATTTATTGGATGAAGCTGTGTAGCGATAGGTGGTTGATGGTGGAGCCCAAGGATGTAGGCCTACTCATCGCTGCAAATTAGAAATACTTTGTCACCCAACTGATGGAACCAAACAATAAAATAGTATAAGAATGAATAAGCTACCTTGCTCCGGCTTTCTTTGCAGGGAATAGATCCCTACGAGCAGACCTCGGTCTCTTGCCTAGAATAGTTCTGCAAAAAAAACTATATAAGCAAATCACCCATACATGGTCTGTACTTCACCCGGGAAGGTGACCATAGCCACACTTAAGGTTCAATGTTGGAGGAACCTAATGTAATACCTTTTAAACTAATTTCGAGGGGTGCGAAGAGTGCACTACGTGGGTATGGCAAATGATTTAGATTACTTAGTCCACAAAGGTACATACCCATGCTCCTCATGGACATCAGAGGGTACCTCCTTCCCCTTGCTGGATGAGGTTTTGGTATCAGCTACTGTGGCAGGATGCAGGAGGAGGGGTTGAGCCACCTTCTGCATTGTTAGGAACCTCAGGAATGACAAGAACGTGTGCCTGGTCGTCTTTTCCAGAGGCAACACTTGATGTCCCAATCTTGTTCATAGCTTTGGGATCCCTAGGATCATGCGGCGAACGTCCGGTAGGACCATGAGCCTCAGCAGACGTTGGATCAGGGAACACCCTCCTAGCTTGGAAGCAGAGCTGCCCAGTCCTAAAGGTTTGCTCACTGATAACCACCTGGAAGACATACTTTCGACCAACAAGGCCGCGAAGGGGTGCAGGCAGCAAAATCTGATTGGATGAGCTTTCTTCAACAAGCTCAGCGGCAGTCCGCCGAACAACCTGTTCAGCTACTCCTCCGAAGAGAAATATTTTCACGCGGCCAGTGGTATCCTCGATGATCACACTTAGCTTATAGCTTGGGTGGGAAAGAAGAAGACACATCAGGAACAAGTTAGCTACCTTTGTCTGGTGGGGAGGGACAGTACCGTTTGAAGCAAGGATTACCTGGGAATAACCACTGGTTTAGCCTCATCGCAGTTAGTGCATTCAAAGCCATCGAAAGTAGCCTTCAGCCCCCGCTTGCATGTATTGCAACCTTTATACCACCAACCATTGGAAACGTCTATTTCTCTTATGATTGCGTTGCAGGTGAAACGAACACCCTACATGGAAGGGCAGACCAAATTTCAGCAACCTGACCTGAGTAGTGCATATAGGTAATTGCTATGAAGGAGGCAATACATTGCTGTCATGGGGATCCAATGCTAGGAGCTCAGCAACAGTTTTCCTGTTGGCGCTTGCTTCATCGCCGGGCAGGAACACAACTTTGGAGCCTCTTCCCTGTAAACTAAGGACAAGGCCAACAACCATTTACACACCCTGCAAATCAGTAAAGGCTGAACAGCAGGGGAATCGTATTACCTAACACGAAAAGTGTTCATTTCTGGAAGGTCAATGTTCATGTACCATTTAGTGCCATCACCGCTCGCACATGTTGTGGCACCTACTTTGGCAATGGGCTGGACAGGTTATAATAGGAACTGGGCGTAATGCAGAGGATACATGGAAAGGATACGATAAATAGCATGCACCTAAGTATTGCTTCACTTGCACCCCAGCAAAAACCATCACAACGGGTTCATCTTTATCAATGGTTTCAATAAGGATCTGGTCCTCAAACAAGGTTGCATGCTCGCCCCACAATATAATTTGTAAGAGATGATCGCTGCAAGAGTAGTCACAATAAGTTTATGCTAACCAGAATACTCATAAACTACCACGGAAGCAACCTTAGATCACAGTAGCTCCACCACCCTCCGCACGCACACACCATTTAGCCCACTAGATCGCACCACCGGATGTATGACTGTAAGTTGTCCGATAACATCTGTTGGGAATCCAAACACCATGTCACCTGCGAAGTAAATCCCGGAAAATAGGAAAAGGGAACCTGAATAGGCAAGGCAAGGGCAGTGCATACCTACTAGGCCATGTCCGTTCCTCCGTCTATGGGTTAATTCCTCAAAGTCCACAAAATTGAAAACATAGAGGGGAAGCTGGGTGGCCAGCTCTGTAGGTATCTCCTCTACGACAGTCCACGGTGTAAAATAGATTGTTTGTGGGTTCGGTACAGGGCTATACTTCCTTGCTTGCCTGCTAACTTGGAATTTTTTAATCATATAGGAGCTGCCTTCAAATAAAGAATCAGCAAATTTGCTAAGGTCTTTATACCCGATGCAAGCGGTAATACCCACGCCCTGATGTAGAGAGTCTCAGATTGCACGGCCACAGTTAAGGGGAAATAGCATATATCCGCATGTAGCAAGGGACATACCTCTTCATCAACCAGAACAAGTTCCATGGCAGTTACACCCTTCCACTTAGGAGTCGAAGATAGTTTCCACATCCTAGCAACTCTAACCTTGATGGTCCAATTGTGCCTTGTTGGATTAATCTGTGATACCAAGGTGTACTCCATCTGGTGGCGGCCAATCAACAAAAGAAAAAGAAGTGTATCAAATAGAGCACTATAATGCAGGTAAGCTAGGAGACCATAGCCTGCAAATGTGTGGGCCCAACATATATAGGGAAAAAAAAATTACCAGAGCGCCCGAAGGACTTCTTTGTAAACAATGTTTTCAGTAAAGTTAGAGGCCAGGTCTGTGCCGTCGTTAATCAAAACACGTAGTCCATCTCTAGATGTAACACGTGATATAGCAACATACAACCCGCCATGAGAAAAAAGCTGGGCACGGTAGGTATAGGCCAACGCTATGCAAAGTTTGTCCTTGGCTCTTATTTATAGTCATTGCATAGCACAATCTCATGGAAATTGGCGTGCGCTAAGAACAAATGGCCATTTAGTGCTTGACACGTGCAACGAAACTCTAGGAAGGAGAACTTTGTCGCCAATGTGAGAGCCGGTTATTATCCGAGCCTCCAATACGTGGTCACCTAACTGGGTTATTATAAGACGTGTACCATTGCAAAGGCCAAGACTCTGGTTTAAATTATGTGACAACATTACAGACGAGCCAACCTTAAGCATAAGTTTATGAGAAGGATGCCCTTGAACTGAGGGGGGTTTAGGAATTCAACAGGATAAAGTAGGTCTGCGTTACCATGGTCCTTGGAGGTTTCAACCAAAGAATCGAACTAAGGTATACCTTTTCATGTCCCGGGATTAAAGAAAGGACGCGGTTATTAATCTCATTGATGGTATCATTTTTTGGAGCAATGATAGCCCGTTCCCTTAGGTAGTTTGGGTCTGAATAGAATGTGTCTAAGTTGGGATAGGTAGATCTTATGATATTATCAATAGGGGAGCCAAGTTTGAACCAAGATGTCATGAGGTATCTCAACCATTTCGAGTCTCCATCATCAGTATGATTATTACCGTGTAGTGATTGCCATCCCCAATACTCAACACCCAATCATTAAATGCTCTCACCTGATCAGTTGGCAAACCACTGCGAGACATCTCAAGTAAGCGCATATTGATTGTTAGCTTTAGAATCTTAACATGATTCCACAGATAAGAGTTAGTTATGGATGCATCAATGGTGTCTAACCTGCTGTCGCCCTCGACCACAGGTAGCACTTGGCGGAAATCTCCGCCGAGCACCACGGTCTTACCACCAAACAACCTATTAAAACACGAATAGTCTGTCTCCCCAAGAATGTCACGCATGCTACGATCTAAAGATTCGAAGCAATGTCGGTGGGTCATAGGCGCCTCATCCCATATGATCAAAGAGCTATGCGCTATTAAGTCAGCAAGAAAAGTTCCCGCGCTTCGCTGCGGGTGACATACTTACGACATATTTTGTTCGAATTTCTTTTTTATTTATACGAACAAATGTGTCCTATCCGCGCTTCACTTTTATTCAATTAGTTTTTTTTGCTACGAACAAATTTGTCCGCTTTTTTTGCTACGAACAAATTTGTCCCTCTTACCATCATTGTATGGGTAAAAAATTATCTATATCTAGGTGCAACAGACACTTCAGTCTATTGCAATTGCTGGGTGCAAGAAGCTCATTAATGCCAGCAGTCTCAACTACTCCCTCCATACTAAAAAATAAAGTCGTTTTGGACAGCGACACGGTCTCCAAAATATTACTGACTCCTTGTTTTCATAAAAATATTTATCAAAAAGTAATATATGTATATTTTTATGAAAGTATTTTTCAAGACAAATCTATTTATATGGCTTTCACATTTCTAAACTCAACAACTTAAAAGTTATTCATGATTTATATTCCCAGATCCAAGCCTTTTCCAAAACGACTTTATTTTTAAATACGGAGTACTCACTTCGCTGCAATAATGAGCATCTGTTTCCAGCAGGCATGCATGCATGCACATACACATGCGACTACATGCATATGCACACTCTCACTCAAGTATGCATGCATGCCTTTAATCACTGCGACCATACAAATGAGGTTTGGTTAATTAAGTTAATCAGGCGTACAACAGCCCAAAGCATCATTTATTAACCCAAAGAACGAAATCAATAACATGCCTTATACGAGGAGCAAGTAAGATTAATCTGCTAAAGAGACTTCGTTGGCATTGAATCAACTAATCCAAATTCCTAATGCACTGGTTAGACTAAGGTACAGTAATTACCTTTCAAAAAAGGTAGAGTGACTACGCTAAAAAACGGTAGAGTAACTACACCATACACTAAAAAAAGGTAGAGTATCTAGACTAATGGACCAGTCACCCATACACATTACCGTAACTATCCCAACAAATAGTGAGAGCTAGAGTTAACTTACGCCCTATTCGCGTGGCTTATAAGCCGTACTTTTTCAGCCAACAAACAATATTTTTCTCTCACAACAAATCAGTCAACAGTACTTTCAGCCATGGCTTATCAGCCAAGCGAACAGGGCATTAATTGGGCACACATGGTTTAACGCATACGGAGTATTACTTATTATCATGTATGTCGATGCAACCATCAAAATTACTACTCAAATGACACAGCCACACATGAGATATTACTCGGAAGACAAAGACATGAGCGTGTGGGAATTAAATGTATGTGCTAATGCTGTAATGCATGCATGCGTGTGTGCCTGTTTCAAGTTTGCATGCGTCCAATAGAGATATACTGTCAATGCTTTCTTGGTTGGTAGAATAAATGCCTTGGGTAGAATAAATGGTGGGCCCCTTGAAGCGATAGAGCATGCTTGCCAGACTCTTGAAGTGGACGACATACGTGGCGCTAAGCTAGAGGAGCTGTCATCTGGACCGCTAGAAATAAATCATATTTATCTGAGATGGGTCGATTCACCACTGCGGGTGCCCCTGAGACCATAGCTACTGATTCCTTGTATATGAACTACAAAGAGGACACATGGAGACACTGGGAGGGCTGGGAGGGGTGCGATGAAGCAATGGATGGCACATGCTTATATAGGCAAGAGTTGGAGGAGGAATGGGCGCCTCTGCATGCATGGGTGCAGATGCAAGTATGGTAGCCGTATTAATGGCGATCAACCCCAACCACCGACCACCTCGGGAGCAACGTGCACACAACCTTAGCCGTCTCTTAGATGCATGGATGCATGTGTAAGTACAAATGTTCCTGCATGGTCGGTGAATTGCTTTTATCTGATGGTAAGGAGGAGAGGCATTAAATGTGTCCACCTGCCGACTTGTTTTTATCTGATGGTAGCATGGAGGGGAGGCATTAAATGTGTCCACTTGCTTTCGACCCACCCTGCGCAGGTGAAGATGTCCCGTGCTTTCAAATTTACTGAGTGAATTTCTGGATAGCTTAGGGAGGCACTCGTGCATGCATGGAAATTTACTGCCTAGTATCTATTGATAGTAAATTCATTAATGTAAAGAGACAAGGCACATGTGATGTAAATTTCTCCTGTCATAGTAACTTTTTTTATGTAAAGGACACGTGAAAGCACAGTGATGTAAATCCCCCTACCGTAGTAACTTTTTGCATGCAAAGTACACCTACAATTTATATTGTCCTTGCATGCATGGTCATTCAATTCTTCATCTACTTCATTAAATACGTCCAGTTGCTTCATCTATCCACTGCCGAATGCACGGAGGAAGGCTGGTTGTGACGCGCTTCATCTGAGTCGTGGAATTTCTATCTAACGCATCAACTAAATAGAACATACGTGGACACCCTGGGAGGCCGCCTAGACGGCGTGCCTTCATATCTCTAATTACTACTTCAATAGAAAACATTAATCATTTTTTGTCCAAAACGTGGAGTTCCACCCAAAAAAAGAGCCGTTGTGATTTGAACCGTCCATCTCATGCATTAGTAGCTCTAGCTCTGGACCAAACATCTAGGCTGTTGATGATGTATTGTGAAGATTTATTGGCTGATATAAATTCCTTCATATTATTTAGCAGTACGATGAACATTAAGTAAGCAGAAATGAAAGTGTCATCAGTGTCTATACCTGGTCGGTATTTGTCTCCATCTTATTTAGCTTATTAATAATAGCCCCTATACTCGGCCTTTGGTGCCGATTAGTCTCCACACAACTTAAAGCCATTTCAATGCATCTCACTACTTGTTTAGAATATGTCTCCAGCTCAAATGCATCCATTAATGTTGTTTGTAACCTATTCCTCCATTTTTCATGTACCTGATAGTTTGGATTTGGAACATAGAAAATTGAAGTATATGAGTATATATTAAAAAAAGCAAGTGCTATTTCTAGAAAAATCACAATTGATCATCATTTGTAGCGAATTTTCTTACAAGCTCAACAAATTGCTTGGAAGGCATTTCAGCACACTGGGTGTAACCTGTAGGTCCACTTATAATCTTTATGATGATGACACCCAAACTGAATATGTCAAGCTTATTTGAGACTACACCCTTCTCTATATATTCTGGTGGTAGATATCCACTGCATAAGACATCATATATACATGTTACTGATATGATGAAACACACAAAAAAAAAATCATTGCATGTGTAAAACTCATATAAAGAATTAATCTTACTGTGTCCCTATACAACTTTTTGTGATTCGCGTTCGTTCTTGTTCGAAAATCTTTGACAAGCCAAAATCTGCGATCTTTGGCATCATATTGTCATCCAACAATATATTAGCCGGTTTTAAATCCAAATGATAGATAGGAGGGTCCAATTCCTCGTGAAGGTATTTCAAACCCTCGCAGATCCCCTTAATTATCGCATAGCGTGTGGGCCAGTCATCGCCACTATATTCATCTGTCGGAACAAACAGTCTCTCAAAATGCAAATTTGAAGAATGGTTACTTCAAGTGAATTAAACTGATCATACAAGAAAAGAAGAGCACAATAATACCAAAAATGTACTTGTCAAGGCTTCCATTATGCATATATTCGAAGCAGAGTGCCATACGTTTGCTATCAGCAAAAATCATGTTTCCTTCATGCGGTACGAATTCGCGTTGAGTTTCATGGCAAAAGCCAATAAGACGCACAATATTCTTGTGTTGGAGTCTTGAAAGGTTCTGAAACTCCTCCTCAAAACATTTGTCATCAAGTCCTGGCATGGAATGAAGCAACTTCACAGCGATAGTTTCACCATTTTTATGCACTCCCTGCTTAACATTGCATATAAGCATGGTTTAATGCAAGCATATAACATGTGAAAACAGAAAATGACTATGAAAACATGTCTGCCTCTTAAATCGTACCTTGTAAACTTTTCCATATGCACCAGTACCAAGCTCACGGTCCTCAGAGAAATCATTTGTTATCTTCTTCAATAAATAGAGTGGCATACGTTTTGGAAACACCTTGCTTGCATGGACCAAGTTATAGCTTCCCCTGGTTGGAAAAAGAGAAGGAGCGGCTTCATGTTCACGAAGGCCAGGGAGGGGAGAAGGCGCCATCAGGATATTTAGAGGATCGTGGTGAGATTGCGGAAATGCAGCCATGGATGGTGGATCTAACTGGCCTCAACCGCCACTGCAAGTCCAATCACTGAACTGGCTCTACCAAGGCCCCCACGGCTGCAAATTAAAGCTGATATAAACACCAACATGTGTGATGATCAAAGTGGCATGAACATGCAAAACCATGGTTAGTTCTTAAGTAAGCAGATAGGGAGACTCAAACAGATATATACACTAGTTGGGATGTAACAGGACTGATTAAAAAGTAGTTTGCTTGATTGTACTGCATCCAAGTTGAGCCCTTCATATACATCTTCCAAGTTAAGTAGCAATAACTGTCAAATGAATAAAAGAAAATTTGAGGGTCCATCCACAAGCTCTTGGACAACCAACAGAGCTTATCAATCTTCATATACATCTTTCTTCTCCGCGTTGACCTCTACCGATAGACCAACAGAGCTTCCACAGAATGCATCATAAAGCAAAACATAGGCAGCGTGCGGCCAGCGGCAGATCTGCCAGATTAAGCTCAGACCGACCACCAGTAAAGCTAGATCTGCCCACAGATAGCAGATTTTACGGGGACAAGAGCAACGGGGAACGAAAGCACTAACCTGGAAAACAAACTCCGCTTGCAGCTAGCTAAGTCTTCGTTCGTCAACGCGAAGTGGAAGCTGGAAGGAGAGTGAGCACTGAGCAGTAGTATAGCAGGTAGCGCTTGGGGGGAGGCTGTTTATTTATTATTATTATAGGACTGGCAGAGTGGCGGTGGGAGGAGTTGCTCGGTTGCTGCGTTGGTTTTTTTTTTTTTGTGCTTTTTGGTGATGACTGATGAGGTCTTGCTGTCTTGCACGAGTATCGGCCTTTAGTTACGTGGGCCTTGCTTGCAGGTCATACTCGTTGATGAGCCGTCCGTCTTGGACCACGTTTTGGGCCGGACTGTATCGTTCTAATGGCAGGCATGTTCGGCTGCTGGTTTCGGCAGCTGTTTGGGCTGTGGCTGTGGCTGTCTAGCCGTTCGGCGGTCCAGAGCCGATCCATTTGGCTGCCCGGCAGCAGTGCCGTCTCTTTCTCTCCCTCTACGAATTCGATCTCCGTCGCCGACACATTGGTTCAGCTTTAGGGCCCGTTCGTTTCTTAGGGATTCATGACCTGGATTTATTCCTACCGAGATTATTTTATTAATTTATATAGCATATTATCAAATGGAACAATTCCGGATGGATTTCACCTTAACCGAACGAGCCCTTAGCAGACGCAGAGCCGGACGCATCATCGCTCACTAATTCCAGGAGGTATTCAAGTCTCCACTTTCCGTCTCCAAACAGGAAGCATTGGGCCGCTCTTCCCTGGGCGTCGTGTTTTGGCAGGTCGTTATGGTTGGATTGTCTACGGTGGTGGGCCTCTCGCTGCATGATGTTCGTGGAACACCATAACTTTGTATTAAACATTTCCCTCTTCATGAAATATGTACAAAGCCACGTTTGCGGAAAAAAAGCTTTGATGGAACTTGGCGGACAAATCACCATGAAAAATCTTTCTAACTTACTCAAAACATGGTGTATGGGTATGGGTCATAAGCCTGGGTCAAGTAAGAAGTCAGGGGGAGGTGGACAATAAAAATAAGATAGAATTTTGACTCTTTAATATTAGATATAGATATATGTATAATGCTTGGTCACATGGTGTTATAGAAGCAACCTCTATACACGTGTAGGTATGAGCATTTGAAATACTATATATAGACACATGCTTACAGTGTGGTACGTGTTAACTAGTATAAAATCAAAGTACTTCCTCCATCCATAAATAAATCAATTCATAGAGTTGTGTTAAGTTAAACTTTTTCTTTATGTTTGATCAAATTAATAAAAAAGAGTGTTCGAAAAAATAAAAAGAGCACATAAACAGTTATGTCACTAAATAAACACATAATAAAAATATATTTTATGATGACGAGTTAAAAGAATTTAACTTAAAATAACTTTAGAAATTAATTTATTCAGATGAATATACTACAGTAGATGGCACGTTTCAATTGTTTGGCTGACTGACAGCAGATATGCAGCTGTTGACCATCAGCATCCAAACATTCCATTCCATGACATTCCTTGTATACAATACAAAAAAAAAATAACATTCCATGCCATTCATTCATTTTCATTCCCGTCCTTCCGGCAGTACTCTAGCGGCAGCCAACCAATCACCAGCTGTCGCGCCTTGCCGCAGTCCCTGCCACCCGGCCCCACGAGACGGTCTCGACAGTCGACACGGACTCCCCCACGCCACGTCACTGTCCCGTGGTCCCCGTCCAGCTCACCGCCGGCTAATCCCTTCCCATTCCCCACCCGGCCTCGGCCTCCCCCACGCGAAAACTAATAACCAAGATCAACTCCAGCCCCGCACGCGAATCCAAAATTACTCCGCAAAATCCCGGGGTTTATCACTGAATCGCCGATCGCTAAACCCCGCAAGGAAGGACAGGCGCCGATCCAATCCGCGCGGCATTGCGACGTGTGCGCGTCCCCCCACCCCCCGTCGCCGTCTCGTCGGTGCCGCGTCCTTTTTCCTCTCCCTCCTCCGTCGCCGCCTCGCACGAGCTCCACCACTTGCTCCCGCGCGAGGTGAGGTGAGCACTGGGTTAGGGCCACTGCCACTGCCACTGCCACCGCCACCACTACTGGGCTGGGCTGCCTCTGCCTCTGCCGTCGGCGCGCGAGCCCGGAGGGGATTCGGCGCTGGCACGCGCGGGAGGGGAAGCCGAGGAATGCGGTGACGCGGCCGGGGTCCGGCCTTTGTGAACCGTGGAGGCTCAGATTGGCGCGCCATGGACGGCGGCGGTAACGGCGGCGACGCTGCGGTGAGTGGCACGCATTTCGGGGGATGGGGATTGGGGAATATAGCAGTAGCAGGAGGGTTTTCGTCTGCGGTTCGTTTGGGGATTGAACTGAAGTTGTTTTGTGTTTTTTCTTTCCTGGTGTGTTTGTGCGCGTGCGAAGAATTCGGGGAAGCATGTGGCCGGGCAGGTGTGCCAGATCTGCGGCGACGGCGTGGGCACCGCGGCGGATGGCGAGCTCTTCACCGCCTGCGACGTCTGCGGCTTCCCAGTGTGCCGCCCCTGCTACGAGTACGAGCGCAAGGACGGCACCCAGGCGTGCCCGCAGTGCAAGACCAAGTACAAGCGCCACAAGGGTATGCCAACCTCTTTCATTTCCATGCATATTTTAGGTTTATTACAAGTGCAGCAGGTTAGGCTTGACCTGCTATTGAAACCAATCAGGTAGTTGCAATTTAATAGCTAGGAGCAGGTGTTAATTCAGTGGCTGGCAAATTTATTCAGATTCTCACCGTAAGCTACCTCTTTCAGTGAATTGTACTCAAATTGTAGTGTTGAGTTGTGTTACATTGCCGCCAAGAGCAGCAAATAAGAGTGGAGTTTGTTGGCTTCAACCATGGCCAAATCTTATTCCTTACTCAATTCTGTTCTGTTGTTTAGGGAGCCCACCAGTACACGGTGAGGAAAATGAGGATGTGGATGCTGATGATGTGAGTGACTACAACTACCAAGCATCCGGCAACCAGGATCAGAAGCAAAAGATTGCTGAGAGAATGCTCACCTGGCGGACAAACTCACGTGGCAGTGATATTGACCTGGCTAAGTATGACAGCGGTGAGATTGGGCATGGGAAGTATGACAGTGGTGAGATCCCTCGTGGATATATCCCGTCACTAACTCATAGCCAGGTTGGAGTTGAAACTTTAGACTTTTATTTAAGGTGATTGTGTTAAATATAGTTCAGAAGACAGAACTAATATTCAGTTCCTTCATATGGATTGTTTTTACAGATCTCAGGAGAGATTCCTGGAGCCTCCCCTGATCATATGATGTTTCCTGTTGGGAACATTGGCAGGCGTGGACATCAATTTCCTTATGTCAATCATTCTCGTATGTTTATCAATCATCAATATCTCATGTTTTGTTGGCTACTGCTGCATCTACTATGATCTAATTTCTGCGTCTTGGTTCGTATCAGCAAACCCATCAAGGGAGTTCTCTGGTAGCCTTGGCAATGTTGCATGGAAAGAGAGAGTGGATGGATGGAAAATGAAGGACAAAGGTGCAATTCCTATGACCAATGGGACAAGCATTGCTCCATCAGAAGGGCGTCGACTTGATGATATTGATGCTTCTACTGACTATAACATGGAAGATGCCTTACTGTAAGTTCGCATATGCTTGTGTATACCTTTAGCCAGCTCCAAATGTACCAATAATTAATGTTTCCTCCTTTATCTGTATTAGTAGTGTTAACAGTAGTTTGCACTTTGGTGTGTTTGGAAATCAAAGACAGTTTGTCAAATCATGCCTTTTGAACAAATTTTATGCAGATCACTGATTTCAGAGGAAATACATTATATTATATGAATGCAGATATCGGCTATCGCTATCAAACATGTAAATGCTGACTTTCATGTCACTTTTAGCAATAACTTTTGTGGATCCATATTGCAGGAATGATGAAACTCGGCAACCTCTTTCTAGGAAAGTGCCAATTCCTTCATCCAGAATAAATCCATACAGAATGGTCATTGTGCTACGTTTGGTTGTTCTATGCATATTCCTGCGCTACCGTATCACACATCCTGTAAACAATGCATATCCACTGTGGCTGTTATCCGTCATATGTGAGATTTGGTTTGCTCTGTCCTGGATTTTGGATCAGTTCCCAAAGTGGTCCCCAATCAACCGTGAAACTTACCTTGATAGACTGGCTTTAAGGTGATGTGAAGTATTTACTGCTAACTCAAAACTGTCTTTGTTGTTCTAAGACTGACAATTTCACAATGCTACTTCCATTGTCAGGTACGACCGAGAAGGTGAACCATCTCAATTAGCTCCTGTTGATATTTTTGTCAGTACTGTGGATCCTATGAAGGAGCCTCCTCTTGTCACTGCAAATACTGTGCTTTCCATCCTTGCTGTCGACTATCCGGTTGACAAGGTATCTTGCTATGTTTCTGATGATGGAGCTGCTATGCTGACTTTTGATGCGCTCTCTGAAACTTCAGAGTTTGCTAGAAAATGGGTTCCGTTCTGTAAGAAGTACAACATAGAGCCTAGGGCCCCGGAGTGGTACTTTGCTCAGAAAATTGATTACTTGAAAGACAAAGTTCAAACTTCTTTTTTTGAAAAAGCACGGGCCATGAAGGTATATTTGATATTTATATATATGCATGTAGGTTTTGGCAGTTCCTGCTTCTGTATTAAGTCAATTTGTATTTTGAAACATACTTGACAGAGAGAATATGAAGAGTTCAAAGTCCGTATCAATGGCCTTGTAGCCAAGGCACAAAAAGTTCCTGAGGAGGGATGGATCATGCAAGATGGTACACCTTGGCCTGGGAACAATACTAGGGACCATCCTGGAATGATTCAGGTTAAGCTCAATTTTTTTGCCCAAAACTATTTGACCACAACATATATCTTTCCCAGCACAGAATGATTATTGTTGCTTGCACTTTAAACTCAAAATTGTGGTCATTGTCAGGTTTTCCTAGGTCACAGTGGAGGCCTAGGCGTTGAAGGCAACGAACTTCCTCGTTTGGTTTATGTGTCTCGTGAAAACGCGTCCTGGATTCCAACATCACAAGAAGGCTGGTGCCATGAATGCACTTGTGAGTGGCTAAATACGAACAATTTCAAAATGCATCTTGCTAACTTTAGTTACTTGGATGTAATGGAGGTTGAATGTTTTCTGCAGGTTCGTGTGTCAGCTGTCCTTACTAATGGGCAATACATGTTGAATCTTGACTGTGACCACTACATAAATAATAGCAAGGCTCTCCGAGAAGCTATGTGCTTCCTTATGGACCCAAACCTAGGAAGGAATGTCTGTTATGTCCAATTTCCTCAGAGGTTTGATGGTATTGATAGGAATGACCGATATGCAAACAGGAACACTGTGTTTTTCGATGTAAGCTAGCGTTATCCTTTTAAAGTTTTTTTTGGGCATCCACTTCCACATTTTCATGAGGCATAAAGAAAACTTGATGAATTAGTGACGCTAATACTTGTTATGTGATGAAATTTTTGAGAATCCGAGTGCAATGTGCCAGGTAATTATCTGTATTTCTGTTTGCTGCAGATTAACTTGAGAGGTCTTGATGGCATTCAAGGGCCAGTGTATGTGGGAACTGGTTGTGTGTTTAACAGAACGGCCCTATATGGTTATGAGCCTCCAGTCAAAAAGAAAAAACCAGGCTTCTTCTCTTCGCTTTGTGGGGGAAGGAAAAAGACGTCAAAATCTAAGAAGAGGTCAGAAAAGAAGAAGTCACACAGACACGCAGACAGTTCTGTACCAGTATTTAATCTTGAAGATATAGAGGAAGGGATTGAAGGTATCATTGAGTTGTGTGTGTGTGTGTGTTTTAATTCGAGTAGATGTGCATTCAATATTTCTGATTTTTGTTCACCACTATTCAGCTGCCCATTTACTCATCGTTTTTATCTGTCGTAAATATAAGGTACCATAGACAAGTAGAGTTTCCTTTCTTTTATCCTTGATCTTTTATCTTGCACTTCACAAACTTCATAGGTTCTCAATTTGATGATGAAAAATCGCTGATTATGTCTCAAATGAGCTTGGAGAAGAGATTTGGCCAGTCCAGTGTTTTTGTAGCCTCTACTCTGATGGAATATGGCGGTGTTCCACAGTCTGCAACTCCAGAGTCTCTTCTGAAAGAAGCTATTCATGTCATCAGCTGTGGCTATGAGGACAAAACTGACTGGGGAACTGAGGTAATGACTCCTGAAGTTATGACTAGTAACATCAGCGTTGCTGATGCTCGTGCTATTACTTGCTACTAGCACACGCAAGGAAATGTTGAGATATGAATTGATGTTTTCTTGTCTGGTTTGCTCATAAAACCTTTGATTTTGGTGATAAATATCTACTTCTGTTGTTGGAAATGATATATTTGTTATTGAATTGATGTTTTCTTGTCTTTAATATGGTGCACCACAGATCGGATGGATCTATGGTTCTGTTACAGAAGACATTCTCACTGGATTCAAGATGCATGCTCGAGGCTGGCGGTCAATCTACTGCATGCCTAAACGACCAGCTTTCAAGGGATCTGCTCCTATCAACCTTTCTGATCGTTTGAATCAAGTGCTTCGGTGGGCTCTTGGTTCCATTGAAATTCTTTTCAGCAGGCATTGTCCCATATGGTATGGCTATGGAGGACGGCTTAAATTCCTGGAGAGATTTGCTTATATTAACACAACAATTTATCCACTCACATCAATCCCACTCCTCCTGTACTGCATATTGCCAGCAGTTTGTCTTCTCACTGGGAAGTTTATCATCCCAAAGGTAAAACACACACATTTATGTACTGTGCAGGCAGAATTGCAAAGAATTGATTCTGACTGCTTTTATTTTTCTTGAATGCAGATTAGTAACCTAGAGAGTGTTTGGTTTATATCACTCTTTATCTCGATCTTTGCCACTGGTATCCTTGAGATGAGGTGGAGTGGTGTTGGCATTGATGAATGGTGGAGGAATGAGCAGTTTTGGGTTATCGGTGGTATTTCTGCGCATTTATTTGCCGTCTTCCAGGGTCTCCTAAAGGTGCTTGCTGGTATTGACACGAGCTTCACTGTCACTTCTAAGGCCACTGATGAAGAAGGTGATTTTGCTGAGCTCTACATGTTCAAGTGGACAACGCTTCTGATCCCACCAACCACTATTCTGATCATCAACCTGGTCGGTGTGGTTGCTGGCACTTCCTATGCGATCAATAGTGGTTACCAGTCATGGGGACCTCTTTTTGGGAAGCTCTTCTTCGCGTTCTGGGTGATTGTCCACTTGTACCCCTTCCTCAAGGGCCTCATGGGGAAGCAGAACCGCACGCCGACCATTGTTGTTGTATGGGCTATCCTCCTTGCATCGATCTTTTCCCTGCTGTGGGTTCGTATCGATCCATTCACCACCCCGGGTCACTGGTCCTGATATCGGAAAATGTGGCATCAACTGCTAGAATGAGCTGAATGTATTAAAGAGTGGAACTAGCACCCATTGTGTCGTAATTTATCAGTGGGTGGCTCTTTCTATAGTATGCTAGGAACTTGGTCGGGAGAAGTTAATTACATATGGTGTAATATGTACCTCCGCTGGTGTTTATCCGTAAGTTAATATATATATATATAGACTGCCTAGCTTGTCTGAAAGTTTACGAGAGTATCAGCGAATTATGTATGGCCAACAGGTTGATTTAATGTGTACATTCAAATCTCTTCTGCCAATATCAAATGCGTTAACCATGAAGTATCAGTTGTTGTTGCTTTGCATAAAAAAATTTACAGGAATGTTACACCAACCAATCAACAAGTACAACTAAACACCTTTTTTCTACTAGTTCTTGTATACCCTCGTATTTACATGCTATAAATTGTTCAAATCCTATCCATCCTAGCTTTTGTCAGTGCAGGGCTGTGGGTGTACAGTCCCGAATTTTCTCCATTTTGCATTCTCACATGTGCTTTGTGTGTCGCCCTTGCCGCCCTGCATTTTTAGATTGATGTTTTGCAAGGTAATGCCTTGGCATGGGACATTCTTGCTACAGTTCATCTTGATAGCTTCCTTGGTGATGGTTGTCCCTCTGATGTTCTTGAAGACAACATTGCTAACCTGCACTGCTGACCTTTGCTCTCCGCATGGCGTAGCCTTGTCACAGTAGTTCTGGTCGATGATTATCGGGTTTTTGACGTCGTACATGACCATGTTTTGGAACGTGATGTCCTTGGCGTATCCACTTCCTCCTTGGTATGTCTTGATGCGTGCTCCATTGGTTGTGCCATATAGTTGCACTGAATCTATGATAATGCCAGAGACTTCAGCTCTTGAGTTGTTATCTCCTAAGCTTCCAATACTAATCCCATGTCCAGGACCACAAACAACTTTGGAGACATGAAGATTACGAGTCCCGTTCTCGATTGACATGCAATCATCACCTGTGAAATTCAGCAGAAACAAAATGTGATGAGTTCACCGAAAGCTTGAAGATGCAATAATGGCATATATGTTGTATATGATGCGAATTAGTATTCGAACAAGCTACTTACCTGTCTTGATCTTGCAGTTTGTGACGTGTACATCCTTGCTCCGAGTGATGTGGATGCCGTCAGTGTTAGGGCTCGTGCCAGGCGCTGTGATGGACAACCGCGCCAGTAGCACATTGGTGCAATCCTCGACTGACATGTGGATCTGTTGGCTGTTCACAATTTTCAGATCCTCCACTCTCAGATTGGTGCAGTAGTGGAATGACAAAGCCGTTGGAGCTTCCTTGCACGGCTGAAGAAACAAGAAAGAGAACCAATTCTGTTAGGTTAGACACTTCCCAGTAAAGCATAAGCTTAAAGATATTCAGATAAACTAAGGGTCGGCGCCACACTTACCAAAGCCTTGTTGATCTTGCATGAGTGTGGCCACCATTTCTCGCCGTTGCCGTCGATGGCGCCACCGCCATTGACGGTGAGCTTGTTGACGCTTCGGAACACGATCCAGTGCCTCCTGTCCTTGTCGCTCCAGTCCGCCCTGTTCGGCGACGCTACCAAGGTGCCCTTGACCGTGAGCGTGACGCTGGACTTGCACGGGCCATGGAGAGTGACGAGCTTGAGCAGGTAGAGCCTGCCGCCGGGGATGAGCACGACGGCCGGCCGTGGCGAGGCGCATGCCGCCTTCCACGCCCTGGCCAGCGCCTGCGTGTCGTCGTGGCTCCCGTCGCCGCGGGCGCCGTAGCGGTCGACGCTGAACACGCTCTGCGACGACGGCGAGGCCAGCGACCTGCCCCTGGGCGCGGCGGCGGATCCATTGACGCGAGGGCTGTGCAAGTGGTTCGTGCCGTCAGCCGAGGTGCCATTGCTCGCTCTTGCAGCCTCAAGAGTGCTAGACATGAAGAGCATCGCGAGGAGAGGCACCATGAACACAAGCTTCATCAGCTTCCTGCTGGATACCATTGTCAGAGCTACGCACGCTGTGCAGGTGGTTATTAGTTGCGGCCTGGACTTTGAACTCTCAAGTGAACAAAGACCACAACAGAACTGAAGGCTATAGTGCAGCTTGAGCTTTGTATCTGATGGCAGGGGACTTGTTGCTAGGCTTGCTCAGCTTGGTGATGGTGACTTGGTGAGTAAGCAGCATGCCAACGGCCGTATATATAGGCGCGCGCGATGAGGCAGGATGCGTTGCTTGTGAAGAAGACTTAGGTTGGCAGCAGATATGTGCAGTGGAGTGTGCATTCTTGCATGCCATTGCCATACCCCATGGATTCCTGAGATTCTTCAGGCATGGCAAAAGGAGATAAATGTGCCTGAATCGTGTCCACCTGCAGGTATTCTCACGACGAAAATTCTAACGTTTGTTTGCTTGCCCGCTGCCGTTGATGCGAGTACGTCCGATAGTGCACGTGCACGAGTGTCTGTGTTTGTTCTCAGGACAAGTCGTCAAGCATGTCCATCTGATTCTTTGCAGTGGTCTCCATGAAAGTTGGAGCATGAGGGCCGCCACACGGCAGTGACAATTCACAATTCGGTTAGGCATATGTGGAACTGAACCATGCTTTGCCGATATGACGATGTCCGGAAGCAACAGGGGCTTATAATGTCCGGAAGCAACATACTAGTACAAGTATATATTCAACGTGTCGATGATGAAGCAATCTGCTACTCTAAGCACTTCATAAGCCAGCCGGTTCAGTAGTGCAAGAGTCAGCACAATCGACGCAAGCAATCGATCATGCATCTGTTTACAATATTCCAAACTATGTATTGCAGCACCAATTATCAAATATATTACTAGCCATTACTAATTGAAGATCCCAACAAAGCCTCCACATTAATCCTCATGACAAGACATGCTAGCCGAAAAAAAAAACTTGAGTTTCTTATAAAAACCATAAGGATATATAGTCATCACAATTCAGTAGTCTCTAACCAAATATTGATAATAATAACCAATTTTAAATTTACCCACCTATGCTACTATGATCAATTACTGAACCTTCCATTATCATAGATAATCTAAGCTAGTGACCCATTAAATTTTAATCTAAATTACCACTTCTGCCACCATAAAAATCCCTCAAAAGTATATATAGGTAGCTCAACTGCTTAGATTCGCCAAAGTTTTAAGTCTCCGACTTAACATGGATGCAATGGGTGAACTTAAAACTCGGCTGAGTCTTGTTTTGCCGCAAATTAAACTAGTACTCCCTCCGTTTTAAATTATAAGTCATTCCAAAAATCTTGGAGAGTCAAAGCATCTCAAGTTTGACCAAAATTATAGAGAGAATCACAAAGATTTATGACATCAAATAGTTATACTATGAAAATATAATTAATAAAGAATCTAATGATACTAAGTTGACATCATAAATGTTATTATCTTATCATATAAATTTAGTCAAATTTAAGATGCTTTGACTCTCCAAGATTCTTGGAATAGCTTATAATTTGGGATGGAGAGAGTATTTTGTTACACTTACACCATGCATGTTACTATCCATCAAGCTCGTGCGTATAACGTTTTACACTGATCGCATGCAACAAAAGTCACCTGCTAGCTTGATGTCTTGATGAGTCCCTGCCTGTAGTGCCTACTTTAATTTTCACATCTGCTGATCTTTGTTACTACGCACAAGGCACGCATATATCGTGCGCGCGTTTTAATTGAGCAATCGACTGATCGGGAGAACTGGAGACGGGTACGTACATGCATGATGCATATTGCATGGTGCAGATCGAGGTCGTCGTGTGCTGCCAAACTCGGGTGGCTTGCCGCCCCAAGCCTTGCCGGCCGGCTGGTTGCCGCGCCCTGGATGGATAGGCTGGAGGTAGACCGGTCGTTGCATTGCATGCATGGAGAGTACGCTACTTTTCACTTTTCGTGTGCTGGAAGAGAATCGATTAACGCCGTCAAACGAAATCAAGGCCCAAGTACACGTATTATCAGTACAAGGTCTCTGTTTAATTTGGGACGCGCGGAGGGCGAGGTCACTCTCCAACTCCAAGTCGCCATGGATGGCACTAATTAATTTGCTTATTTTATAGTTCCAACTAGTGAGTTATCTGTTGACGCATTTTCATGTCTGTCTCCGAGGTGCATAGTTAATAAACTGCTAGCTGTGTTCGGAATTTCGGCCAAAATTTCACGATTTTCTATCCTATATATATATATATTGGTGACTTCAGGTAAATATATACTGTTAATCTTGTTTTTTCAATCAAATGAGATTTGTTCGGATTCTCAAATTTTTAATTAAAATTCAGCAAGTTTCAATTTTTTTTTTGGATTTTTAAGTTTTTTTATTTGTACCATCTCTTCTGGGATTTGTGCTTGGTAGGCCGAACCCTCACTGCCATATGCTTCCAAGTTCTAATTAAGAGCATCTCCGAGAGCTTCCAAAACCACTCCTAATATTGATTTTTTAGTAAGATTGAAAAAAAACTGCTCTCCCATGACTCCCTGCCGTAACTCCTAAACTTTCCGCACTTGGGAGACCCAACCTAATCGTGCGGATATACACACACATGCGTGTATCCATCGGCTTTGCTTGGGAACACAGCCAGCAGGGACTGGACATGTTCCGTTGGCCAGCTGATTGGGTATATCTCATTTTTTGCTTAATTGATTTTTAGTACACAACACCTCCCAGAAAAATCAAGTGTGGATGCCAGTGTCTGTAAGTCGGAAATTGAAGGATTAGCGAAAATGCCAGCATCATCGGCACATAGAGAGCACCTCAGCTTGGTGTTCAGGCAATTTGAGGTGTTACAATGCTAGATGCTTCGCCCTCCCTAGTCTCTACAATTGATTTAAGGAAAGCATAAAATACTTTACCTTGTAATTTGTATGAATAATGATAGCTATGGCTCATTTCAGAGTTTATATTGTCTTGAATTTGGTTGGGGTCTTTAAAATTTTCCATTTACATTCACTGGCCTCATCACCCACGCATTGCAGGCTACAAATCTGAAGCTATATGTGACCTTACAGGAAATGGATTTACAAGAAAGGGAAAGTATTCCTAGAAATATAAACTGTTGCTAATTTGTATAAAAGAATATACATGAAAGTTATATGAATGAACCAATTAATGAATACACACTTAGCAATACAGAGCTACAGGTTTTCACGCGTGTCAGAAATATATATACATAGATGAGCATGGCTACTCTATCTGTACAAACTACAAATTACAAGCAACTGAGTTCAGTTGCCCCCCTACTTTGTGGCAGTGCAAGGTTGCGGGTGAACAGTCCCAGATTTACTCCATTTTGCATTCTGACATGTGCTTTCTGTGTTGCCCATGCCACCCTGCATTTTCAGGTCGATGTTCTGCAAGGTAATGCCTTGGCATGGGAAATTCTTGCTACAGTTCATCTTGATGGCATCCTTGGTAATGGTTGTCCCTCTAATGTTCTTGAAGACAACATTGCTGACCTGCACTGCTGATCTTTGTTCCCCGCATGGCTTAGCCTTGTCGCAGTAGTTCTGGTCGATGATTATCGGGTTCTTGACATTGTACATGATCATGTTTTGGAATGTGATGTCCCTGGCGTATCCACTTCCTCCCTGGTATGTCTTGATGCGTGCTCCATTGGTTGTGCCATATAGTTGCACTGAATCTATGGTAATGCCAGAGACTTCAGCTCTTGAGTTGTCATCTCCCAAGCTTCCAATGCTGATCCCGTGCCCAGGACCACAAACTACTTTGGAGACATGAAGATTATGGGTCCCGTTCTCGATTGACATGCAGTCATCTCCTGCAAGATTCAAAAGAGGAGATCTAAGTTCACCGAAAGCTTCAAGACAATATATTCCATATGAAGTGAATCCTGAACATTCTACTTACCAGTCTTGATCTTGCAGTCTGTGACCCATACATCTTTGCTTCGAGTGATATGGATGCCGTCAGTGTTAGGGCTCGTGCCGGGCGCTGTGATGGACAACCTTTCGAGTTGCACATTGGTGCAATCCTCGACCGACATGTGGATCTGTTGACTGTTCATAATTTTCAGATCCTCCACCCTCAAATTGGTGCAATAGTGGAACGACAAAGCCGTTGGAGCTTCCTTGCAAGGCTGAAGAAAAGAGAAGCCAATTCTACTAGGTTAGACAATTTTCAGTAAAGCACAAGCTTACAGATATTCAGATAAACCAAAGGGTCGGCGCCACACTTACCAGAGCCTTGTTGATCTTGCACGAGTGCGGCCACCACTTGTCGCCGTTGCCATCGATGGCGCCACCACCATTGACGATGAGCTTGTTTACGCTTCGGAACACGATCCAGTGGCTCCTGTCCTTGTCGCTCCAGTCCGCTCTATTCGGCGACGCCACCCGCGTGCCTTTCACCGTGAACGTGACGTTTGACTTGCACGGGCCAGAAAGACTGACGACCTTGAGTAGGTAGCGCTTGGAACTAGGGACAAGCAGGACAGCCGGCCGCGGTGAGGTGCACGCTGCCTTCCACGCTCTTGCCAGCGCCTGCGTGTCGTCGTGGCTCCCGTCGCCGCGGGCGCCGTAGCTGTCGAGGCTGAACACGCTCTGCGACGACGACCCCAGCAACCGGCCCCTGGGCGCGCTGGCAGATCCATTGGCGCCAGGGCTGCGCGAGTAGTGGTCTGTGCCGTCAGCCGAGGTGTCATTGCTCGCTCTTGCAGCCTCAAGAGTGCCGGACATGAAGAGCAGCGCGAGGAGAGGCACCATCATCAGTTTGCTGCTGGGTGCCATTGCCAGAGCTATGCACGATGTCCAGGTGAGTTGCAGACCGGACTTGGAACGCTCAAGTGAACAAGATCACAACAGAATTGCAGGCTATAGTGCAGCTTGAGCTTGGTATCTTGTTGCTAGGCTTGCTGAGCTTGGTGATGGTGTTAGATTTGGATGGTGACTTTGTGAGTAAGCTGCATGCCCACGGCCGTATATATAGTCGGGCGCGGTGAGGCGGGTTGCATGCGTTGCTTGTGAAGAAGAGTAACGCGGGAGAGTTTAGTTTGGCAGCGCGCAGATATGGAATGTGCAGTGGAGTGTTCATGCTTGCAGCCACCACGTACGCCATACCCCATGGATTCCTGAGATTGAATTCTTCAGGCATGGCAAGGAGATAAATGTGCCTGAATCGTGTCCACCTGCAGGTTTCTCAGGTCAACAAGATTGAACACGTGTGCGCGCGCGCGCGCGTGTGTGTTAATTGTTTGTTCTCAGGACAAGTCCATCGATCTGATTCTGTGCAGCGTAGGCCTTGAAAGTTGGAGCATGAGAGCCCCCACGGCAGTGACAATTCGGTTAGGCACCTGTGGAACTGAAACTCTGAAACATGCATGCTTTATGCGATCGCCGTGTTCTATCCATCAAGCTTGTGCGATCGCCGAGACTCCCGCAAACCAGCTACTAATTAATAGCTGTCACGTTGTGGATAACGTCTACGCATGCAGACGATGGCAACCAGCCATCAAACAAAAGTGTGATCCGTTGCCTGCTGCTAGGGGTAGCCCTGCAGCTGCCTGTATTAGTAGTGCCTACTTTTGACATCTGCTGATCTTTGTTACTCCTACTAGGCACGCGTATGTTCTGAGCAGTCGAGAGGAGTCGTAGAGGTCGTGCTGCCAAACTCGATCGGTGACTTGCCGGCCCAAGCCTTGCCGCCCTACTACGCACGACGTACCTCGGCTGGAGCCTGGAGGGTACTGTAGATCGGTCGCTGCATGCACGGAGACTACGCTCCAGCTAGCTGCTTGCTCGATGGGCTGGAGCCTGGAAGAAGACCGGTCGTTGCATTGCATGCATGGAGAGTACGCTACAGCTATAGCTGATGCTACACTTTTCGTGTGCTGGAAGAGAGATCGATCGATTAACGCCGCCGACCGAAATGAAGGCCCAAGTATAAGTATTAGTACTACAAGGTCTCTGTTTAATTTGGGGCGCCCGGGGGGCGAGGTCACTCTCCTCCATGGCACTAATTAATTTGTTTGTTTTATACTCTCGGTTCTAAATTATAAGTTATTTTGATTTTTCTTGATACACAATTTTTCCACGCCAGCAGTCCGTTTCGCACGCCCAAGCAGGGCCCGTGCCACCCCGAATGTCACTAGCATCAAGAAGAGGGGGAGAGGACGGAGGATGCCCAGCCGGCGCCGAGAGGAGGAGGAGACACTGAGGCGAGGTAGCAGAAAGCGAGAAGAGAGATGCAACACCCGATCTACTTTTACAACATCCAGACAAAACACTTGCAACATACGTTTAAAGATAGATGAAACACTTGAATCATGCATTTGAAACACTTGCAAAAACACTTAAAAACCATTGTAAAGCATACGCAACATCCAGATAAAATACTTGCAACATATTTGTGAAACATATGCAATATCCAAATAAACGCACTTGCAACACACGTCTACAAAATAGATAAAATATTTGGAATAGACGCTTGCAACATACGTGTACAACCATTGTAACATATGCAACTTTCCGACCTACTTTTATAGCATATGCATGAAATAATTGCAACATACCTCTGAAACATCTGAAATACTTGAAACATACGCATGCAACATGTCAGACACAACACTCTAGTGGACAGCGACCACCATGTCTGGCGAGCCTCGAGGCAGTCGCGAAGTACGGCACGGCCATGACGCCCTTGCTGTCTCTTGTCGCAGGAGGAAGTGATGAGGAGGACGCCGGCGCCGACGATGAGGTAGCGGAAGTGCGGGAGAGGGAGCTTGTGCTGGTACCCGAAGCAGAAGAAATCCGAGGATATGAGCAACACCATGGGCTTGGAGAGCTTGTAGAGCGGTCGCGTGGCAGCGGACGCCACGGTCACGACTAAAGATGGCAATGGGTACCCAAAACCCGACTACCCAATGTGTTTTACCCGATAAAGAGACGGGTATGGGAAGAATTCTTCACACATGGGTATACTAATGGGTAAAAATCTCTATCCATCGGGTATGCGGGTACGGGTACGGGGACATACTACCCACACCCGTGTACCCGCGGGTAAATTATACCCGCCTTAGCAACACATGCATTCATTAATTACTATGAAATACACGTATATCTAATAGATCTATGACTATTATACTATTAACTAGTGTAGTTTTTTTGCTATGTTATAATTGTTGATTTCTATTGACAAAGAATTGGCGATATATTATTCTAATAATATAATATACTAATGTTCTTTTGGTTTGTAGCGGGTATGCATTCGGGCATAGGTTACCCGTTGGGTATTTTTACCCGTGCGGGTATGGGTATGGGTGAAGTCTTCTACCCGTGCGTGGGTATGAGTAATTCTACGGGTAAAACTTTATCTCGCGGGTACGAGTATGGGATAGCAATAACCGACGGGTATATACCCGTTGCCATCTCTAGTCACGACGGTGTGAGGGGGCGAGCAGAGAGGATGAAGGGCATGGCGGTGGCGAGGGCCACGATGAGGAGCGATGGGCGGGGGGGGGGTGATGGGCCGCGGCGAGTCGCTGGGGGTCTGGATCTCGACTAAGTGGGGCGGAGATGCCATCGGCGGGCGATGCTTCGACGGCTAGACTTGGGGAGAGTGGGAGTGGACTAGATGGCAGAAGCAGAACGTGCGTGCGACTGATGGCTGGCAGCTCGCATAGTGGGAAATTTTTCCGGGGAGGTGGCGTTAGGACAGACGGATGCCGGCACCGTAGCATTACCGTATACGTTATGTCTAGATATTCCCAACACTAGTACAGAAAAAGATTTTTAGAGACGGTTAAAATTGGTTTTCAGTGGCGGTTTAAAAAACCACTACAATGCTAAAATAAGTGATTTTCAGAGGCGGTTTTAAAACTGCCTCTAAAAATCAATTTTCAGAGGTGGTTCTCTTAAAACAACCGCCCCTAAAAATCGATTTTAGAGGCAGTTGACTTAAGTCAACCGTCCGTAAAAATAATTTTCAATTTTTTTAAAAAAAATCATTTAGAGTCCAACAAAAAATAAGAAAAAATATTTAGTGTGGCTAAAGGCCTAGAGGGCTAACCAGTCACTCGTAGAATTTAATTTTTGCCACCATCCGAAACCGATGTAGTGCAGCAATTAGGATTTGTACTCGTGACCTCTCGCCCCGTGCGGTCTGTCCCCTACCACTACACCACACAGTCACTTGTGTTGAGATATACAATGCTGTCCATTTGTATTAATACGTATAGATCTTGTAATCAATATTTGAACTATTAAACAACCTTAAATGGAAAAAATTTCAACTATAAAGTTTTAAATCTCTTTGAACACTATAACTTTCATATAGAACATTTCTCCATCCAAGGTCATTTGAGAAATTCAAAAAATTGAAATTGAAAATCTGAGACTTAATTTATATATTTGGAACCCTAAATGATCTCAAACAAAAATTTTACCAACTACAAAGTTTTAAATCTCATCGAGGTCTACAATTTTGATATAAATTTTATCTTCATTCGACTTTATTTAAAAAAGATATGAATTTATTTGTGCTGTAACTATTTTTAAGGACAATTGACTTAGTGAACCGTCTCTAAAAATCACTTATTTTCATAGACGGTTGACATAAACAACCGTCCTTGAAAATAGCATTTTCTGAGGCGGTTCTCTTAACGGAATCGCCCCTAAAAATGGATATATTTTTAGAGGCGGATTTCTTAATGAAACCGCCCCTGAAAATCACCGTCACGGAGCTACAGTACTCCCCAACGATGTTAGAGGAGGCGTGCTAGTTTAATCGTCTCTGATAGAAAAGAAAGGCGCTTCTAAAAATCTTTTATGTACCACTGCAATAAGCCTTGTCACAGATAATGTCAAGCTCCCTCCACACCCTATCCTGACCTTTCCACCTAAACCATATATAGCAATTGCAAACAAAGGGCTCTGGCGAAGCGTTCCAAGTCTAATATCCCCATGCCTCCGCTATTTTTTGGTCTGCATGTCGGTGACATTTTCTAGATCATCCCTTCTCCAAAGGAACACTCTTCTTATTTGATCAATCTTGTGGACTAACCACTTTTGTGCTTAGAAAACTATAAGCTGATAGATTGACAAAAACACCAGCATCATTAGCAAGAGAGCATCTCAGCTTGGTGTTCGGGCAATTTGAGGTGTTACAATGTTGCTTCGCCCTCCCTAGTCTATACAACTGATTTAAAGGAAGTAAAATAACTTGTAATTTGTATGAATAATGAAGTCTTTGGTTCATTTGAGTATTCAGATTGTCTAGAATTCGGTTCGAGGTCTTTATAATTTTCCATTGTGACAAGCCACGTCATCCACTCACGCATTTCAGGATACATATCTCAAGCTATATGTAACCATACAGGACATGGATTTACCAGAATAGGGTATGTATTATTCCCAGACATATCAACTGCTGCTACTTTCTACAAAAGAATATACATGAAAGTTACGTGAATGAACCAATTAACGAATACACGCTTAGCAAAACAGAGTTGCAGGTTTTAACGGGTGTTAGGAATATATGTACATGAGTATGACTACTCCATGTGTACAAGCTACAAAGTACAAGTAACTGATTTCAATTGCTCCCCTATTTTGTGGCACTGCAAGGCTGCGGGTGAACGATCCCAGATTTTCTCCATTTTGCATTCTGGCAGGTGCTTTCTGTGTTGCCCTTGCCACCCTGCATTTTCAGGTCGATGTTCTGCAAGGTAATGCCTTGGCATGGGACGTTCTTGCTGCAATTCATCTTGATGGCATCCTTGGTAATGGTTGTCCCTCTAATGTTCTTGAAGACAACATTGCTGACCTGCACTGCCGATCTTTGTTCCCCGCATGACTTAGCCTTGTCGCAGTAGTTCTGGTCAATGATTATCGGGTTCTTGACATCGTACATGATCATGTTTTGGAATGTGATGTCCTTGGCATATCCACTTCCTGGTATGTCTTGATGCGTGCTCCATTGGTTGTGCCATATAGTTGCACTGAATCTATGGTAATGCCAGAGACTTTGGCTCTTGAGTTGTCATCTCCTAAGCTTCCAATGCTAATCCCATGCTCTGGACCACAGACAACTTTGGAGACATGAAAGTTATGAGTCCCGTTCTCGATTGACACACAGTCGTCCCCTGCAAAATTCGTCAAAAAAAAAATCTAAGTTCACTGAAGCTTGAAGACACAATGGCGTATTTTCCGTATGATGCGAATCCTGAACATACTACTTACCGGTCTTGATCTTGCAGTTTGTGACCCGTACATCTTTGCTCCGAGTGATGTGGATGCCGTCAGTGTTAGGGCTCGTGCCGGGCGCTGTGATGGACAACCGTGCTAATAACACATTGGTGCAATCCTCGACTGACATGTGGATTTGTTGGCTGTTCACAATTTTCAGATCTTCCACTCTCAAATTGGTGCAGTAGTGGAATGACAAAGCCGTTGGAGATTCCTTGCAAGGCTACAAAAAAAGAAAAGCCAATTCAATTACACTTCCATGTGAAGCACAAGCTCAGAGATATTCAGATAAACCAAATTAAAGGGTCCGCGCCACTTACCAGAGCCTTGTTGATCTTGCACGAGTGAGGCCACCATTTCTCGCCGTTGCCGTCGATGGTGCCACCGCCGTTGAGAGTGAGCTTGTTGACGCTTCGGAACACGATCCAGTGCCTCCTGTCATTGTCGCTCCAATCCGCCCGGTTCGGCGACGCAACCAGAGTGCCCTTCACCGTGAACGTGACACTGGACTTGCACGGGCCACGGAGGGCGACGAGCTTCAACAGGTAGTGCCTGCCCTCGGGGACGAGCACGACGGCCGGCTGTGCCGAGGCGCACGCCGCTTTCCATGCCTTTTCCAGAGCCTGCGTGTCATCGTGCCGTCCATCGCCACGGGCACCGTAATGGTCGAGACTGAACACGCTCTGCGACGGTGGCGACGCCAGCGACCTGCCCCTGGTAGCGGCGGCGGGTTCGCTGGCACCAGAGCTGCGCAAGTAGCTCGCGCCGTCAGACGAGGTGTCGTTGCTCGCGCCTGCAACCTTGAAAACGCCGGATAGGAAGAGCAGCGCGAGCAGGGGCGACATGAACACACGCTTCAGCAGCTTCCTGCTAGATGCCATTGGCAGAGCAAAGCACGATGGAGTGGTTGAAGCGAGGACTCTGAACTTGGACTCTGACCAAGATCACAAGAGAATTGAAGCCAATGCAACACAGTTGCTCTTAGCTAAAGGTAGACTGGTCGTTGCATTGCATGCATGGAGATTACGCAACAGCGCTATAGCTGATGCTAGCTACTTTTCACTTTTCGTGTGCTGGAAGAGAGATCGATCGATTAACGCCGCCGATCGAAATGTGAAGGCCCAAGTACACTTATCAGTACAAAGGTCGCTGTCTGGGGCGAAGAGCGAGGTCACTCTAACATGGCACTAATTCATTTGGTTACGGGAAAAAAAATTTTATACTTCCAAACAAGTGATCGAGTCTATTTGTCCACTGAAACTTGAAAACAAACCATGCATTAGTATTATATCGAACTACTCAAAGCAAATCATGCATTAGTATTGTCCAGTGCTATCGGTAATCTTGTTTTTTTTTATTCGAATGGGACATTTTCGGGATCTTAAATTTTGGTCAAAATTTCACATGTTTTAAAAATTTTGGGGATTTTCAAGATTTTCATTTCTACTGGTTACCTCCGGCTTTCGTGCCCTAACACTACTGAATTTAGGTTTTTTGCCGAGTGCTTGAGGCACTTGGCGAATACCAAATTGCACTCGACAAAGGCTTTGCCGAGTGCGGCACTCGGCAAAGACCACACGGCAAAAATCTGATCGGCAAAGCCCTCTTTGCCGAGTGCCCCGGGGACACTCGGCAAAGAAAAGCGACCGGCACGGCGGCGGTTCCGTTGACGGTCGCTTTGCCGAGTGCCAACCCTGCAGGCACTCGGGAAAGATTTTTTTAATTTTTTTTTAAAAATTTCTTTGCTGAGTGTCAACCTGTGAGGCACTCGGCAAAGATTTTTTATTTTTTTTAAAAAAATTCTTTGCCGAGTGCCAACCCGTGAAGCACTCGGCAAAGATTTTTTTTTTAATTTTCTTTGTCGAGTGCCAACGCGTAAGGCACTCGCCAAAGAGCTTTATTTTTTTAAAAAAAATTTCTTTGCCGAGTGTCAACCATACAGGCGCTCGGCAAAGTGTTTTTATTTTTTTTAAAAAAATTTCTTTGCCGAGTGCCACCCATCGGGCACTCGGCAAACGTTTTTCATTTTTTTTTAAAAAAAAATTCTTTGCCGAGTGTCAACCCGGAAGGCACTCGGCAAAGATTTTTTATTTTTTTTAAATTTCTTTGCCGAATGCCCTATGGGTGGCACTCGGCAAAGTTTTGATTTTTTTTAAAAAAAAATTCTTTGCCGAGTGCCCTATGGCCGGCACTCGGCAAAGTTTAATTTTTTTTTAATTTCTTTGCCGAGTGTCATTGTCACAGCACTCGGCAAAGCTGGAAAATCTGTTTTCTGATCGCCCATTTTTCCAGCTTTGCCGAGTGTTGTGGCCATTGCACTCGGCAAAGGGGTCCTTTGCCGAGTGCAACACTCGGCAAAGTGACCCAAAACGGCAATTTTTTTTTGCATTCCATCATGACAAATACATTCATACAAACATATATCACATATATATCTCATTCATCACATATATATCTCATCCATTGCATATATATATCTCATCCATCCACACATCCATCCGCCCATATCACATCCATCACAATATATAATAATAAGTGCTCAAGTCCATCCAAATACGTGCACAAGTCCATCAAAGTCCACAAGTGCATCATAAGTATATCATAAGTCCATCACCAAGTGAACAACAAATGTAAAAAATACAACATGCACTCATCTCGGCCACTGCGACTGTGGTGAAGGCCCAAATGCATCATTCGTAGGTGCATGATGTGGATTATTTGAACCACCGTCAGATGGAGACTGCACAAAGGAGAAAAGATTACATGTGAGACAAGATTATTTTGATAGCTAATCTAGGACGATAGAGGCCATACAAGCAAAGCACAAGCGAAAGTAAAAAACTTTGATACTCACAGGAGTAGTTGCAGCTGCATGACGCGGAGGCGGAGGTGGAACCAACAGCTCAGGTGGCAGAGATAAGCCCATACGTTGCCCGAGCCCTTGTAGGAAATCCGTAATGTCCATCAGCCTCTACGTCTGGGCCTGCCGCTTGGCCCGCTCGGCCTCCAGCTGGGCCCCCAGCTCCTGACGTTCCTTCATTTCTTGTTCCAGCCGGGCCTACAATATTTTACTCTAATGTTTCAGTAATGCAAAGCTAATTAAGGTGTGTAAAGATCAATATATGACGAGTAAAACAGGAATAACGTCGAGTGCGTCGACCCAGTGCTGTGCAGCGGTCGACCGTGTGCGAATGGCCAGGCTCTCGCTCGTGCTCCGTGCTCGGATCTAGGAGAGAGAGGGAGTAGAGGCCGTGTCGTTGACGCCGTCGCCAAGCCAGAACCGCCCATGCTTCTTGCCTTGCCCCGCCCTCATGACGGTCTCTCCATCGAAGTCCTGGGTGCTCGAATCGTGGTCTGACCCATGGAGCGACCTCGCCACCTCAGTGTACTCACTGATGCGGGAGTGGACGCTCGGGTTCGTGTATGCCTCGGGCGGGTCCTCCAGGTTGAAGGAGACGTCGGACGTCGCCTTGCCCTTGTGGGCCATACACCATGCCTGGAAGTCCGAGCAAGCCTGGCCACTATGTGACGCCGACTGTGAGAAAGATAGCACGATGATTAGAAATCAGGCAGAACTGAGCGTGACAATAGATAAATCAATTCGTGTACCCATGCTTGTTTGTATCTGGCGAGGTTGCGGCTGCCTTGATGGTGTGCTGGACCTTGCATCAGCAAACGACGGTACCAGGCATCCCTGTGCATCTTGAGGTACTCCTCCGTGAACCACCTGTCCACCATCATCGCCCAACACTCAGGATACACTTGGCACCACCAGGGAATCATCTACACGTCATCAAGTATTGGACATATAAGAAGATCAAATTAAACCAACTTAATCTCAAAACGAATCAATATTGATGTTCTTCATTTACCTCAAGGTACTGCTCCTGGGTCAGCTGCATCTCTCTTGCGTCTTTCTTGGTTTTCCTCTCTCCAAGCTTCGACCCGTAGTAGGTTACGATGGCCTGGATGCGCACCTCGTGATGCATGTCGGTGACGAGTTTTTTACAGGCTTTGGTAATCACCTACTCCGCCCTGGCCTCAAATCCCTCCTCGCATCTGTAATAAGTCTGCATACAAAAGCGATGTATCCATTCATTATTTCAAGAAAAGTCCAATGAATACGACGTATTGAGCAATGTTGTGCGAGGGAGACTTACCCAAAACTCTGTCTTCACCCGCGCCGCCTTGTTGGGGTACTCCGCATCGGAGGCGACGACGTAGTGGTCAAACGAGTAGGCCGGCTCCGTCTTCAATGCGTACGTGACAATACCGGGGAAATGTTGCCTGCACAGAAGACCCAGGATGCCGTTGACTAGCCGTGCGCTACCACCCGACACAACCACCCAGTTCCTGCACAAGTGATTAAGAAAAATTATTAGTTTTTTTCATCATATCTTATGAAGTAGTGGTGATAACATATACAGTTACTTACTTTTGTCCTTCGGGGCGAATCACTGGGCGTTGGTGAGGAAGCGGAACCTGTGGGAGGCTCGCGGGACCTCGCAAGTAAACACTTGAAGAGGAGTTGGAGGAAGCGGAACCCATGCCTGCCGCCTCCCCCCCTCCTCCTCCTCCTCCTCCTCCTCCTCCTCCGTCTGCCGAACCAGCTCCTCGTCTGACTCGTCCACTGGCGCCACCTCCTCCTGTGGCTGGCGGTCCTCCTCACGTGGCGTGGGAGGAGACGGCCCCCTCCTGCGGCTAGCGGTCCTCCTCCTCCTGTTCGATCCCTCTGCCGCCCCCTCCGCCCCCTTCTGCGGCCGGCGTGGTCTTTGGTAAATCGAGTTCACAGACCTATGACGGTCGCCCGCCATCTTTGTTCAATCACCTGCAATAAAAAAGAAAAACAAAACGTAATTAGAAATAGGTGCAAAAATGAACAAAACATAATTACAAAAAATATAGTAATACATGTATTAGAAATATATGCAAAAATGAACAAAACATAATTACAAAAAACATAGTATTACATGTATTAGAAATAATCTTCATGATTGAAATTAGCTGGATCATAGGTCTCGTCATCACTATCAACATTGTCCAACTCATCAACACTATCCGAAGGAGGAATGTTGTCTTCATTATCATTGTCCAAATGTAATCGCTCAAGCATTTGTATGTCCTTCAGATTTCGCACCTCGTCTCCAGCGTCCTCGTCATCATCACTTTCATTGTCTACTTCCATTCCTATCTCTTTGGTTAAGTCTATGTCAAACCTCCCTT